TCTGCTGAGATGCAAAGGCTTATTTATGACCAACTACTTAGGATGGAAATAGGGCAAAGCCACAGCTTTATTGAATTTTCTAAATGTAAGAACTTTCCAAATGTACAAAATAACAATGCCAGTGACAGTTATGCTATGAGCACCAATAAAACATAAACTCACATAGTCTAAGAGACCTGTCCTTATTATCAGTGCCAGACAGGCATTAGACCGACCCCAGAATTTAGCATGAAGGCACAGCCGATAAACCAACTTCAATTGCTGAAACGGTCAAAATAGCTGTGACAAAACATCACAAAGGTGGGTGGGCAACTCTTGTGACAACTGAATCTCTTCACATCAGTGGGACATGCCCCATGTAGCCTTTTTCTTAATTTAGGCTCCACCCAGTCACCCCAGGTCTTTGTAGTCAATCCTAATGAAGCCACTTAACCTCCCTGTGTTAGGTTAATGCTTACGGTGATGCCATGCTTCCAGTAGTCAAGGATCCTTTTGGTGGTGGTGGTGGTAGGGGGCTCTTCATCAGCATTTATACTCTATGTACTATTCTCTAAAAAAAGCAAACCATGCTGGAGTAATTACTTTAGTAAAAGATGACAATCAACATTGGAGAGCCTTGAACTATTCAATCAATAATCCGAGACGTTGTCAGTTCTTGCAAAAAGTACATCTACGTTGAGAAACACTTAAGATATGTTGCTGTGGCAACATGTGACAATTTAGATTACTATGTGACACACATAATAAAAGGTCTTCTTGCAAAAGTTAACATTTATGCTAAGAATAGTGCTGAGACTGTGTACACTGCACTATGCTAATATATATACAGTATATATATTTAAAGAACACTGTGGATTGACTGCATTACAGATTACAGATGTGTAATGTTTTCATTGTAATAGCTGTGCTGGTGTTAATTTTTCATTGCCTATTCGTTCATGTATGACATGTAATGACATTTTTTCTGATCCTCAGAATGGAACATTGGACTTTCAACATTTTTTGTCGAAACCTGCAGGTTAAGAGTGATGCTATTACTATACCCAAGGCTGAGATCTGGATATCCCTGTATAGCTCAACCATCAAGTTCATTTAAATATGATTCTGTTGTCCTCTCTTGATTTTTTTTTTAGTACGCCAAACCCACACCTTTCACATTAACGGATGTGTGCATGTACATGCTGTCCAAGACCTACAAGTAACAGGAATTAGAAATTCCATCTAAAAAAGACTAGAACAGCAACACTTGCTGCAATATCAAGGCTCCCAGTGCTTTTTGGAATACTTAACACACATTATAAATGCAATATGTTGGTGTGTTATGGTTTAATGGAGCCATAATTACTTATATAGTATGGCATTGTCATAGCTAAACTGCAGCTTGCTGTAATGCATTATTCACGATTTGTAGGTAAAGGACTAAAATGACACCTTATTAATTAAACTTTACATAACATTAGGTTAGACATACTTGATTTTGCATTTTAGATTCCGAGTTGCAGCAGTTCAATGTGTAAAGCACATCATCACCTTGTAATTTATCATTCCACATGGTCATGGCCTATTTACTGAGTGTCCTATATATTGCCTTGAATACAGAAGACTCACGATATGATCTATAGTTTTTTGTATGAAAGTCACATGCAGTAATGTGGGTACAATCATTCATTTACTGCTGGCTGTGAACATGCATTAATTAATCATAACACCTGTACAATGTATCAGTAATAGAACGGACTAAAGCTGATCTTGGCTGCGGCAGCAGATGGTATTGTGAATATGTCCAAGGATGTTGTTGTTGGACTATTCCCAATGACAGTAACATTCATTCCTTGGAGCAAAGCAGCAGTATAACCTTCATGTCAATGGAAAACATTTCTGAAAAACACACTTGAAGATTATAGAAGAAACAAATAGGGATAAGTGAATGTGCCTGTATTTGTTCACAGACTTTGCAATGAACCCTATTGAGGGGGGGGGGGGGGTCATGTTATTTAAAGGCTAAGTTCACCTTTTCTGCAGAATTTCACTTTTTCGTAATTAACAGAAGCCTTTTTCAATGTCATTTCTCTCCAAGCCATTCCAATATGCTTATCTCTCACTTACCTCATCTATAACAGCTTTAAAATTTCATCTATTTTAACCACTTGCCCTCCAGAGGATTTTACCCCCCTTCCTGACAAGGCCAGGACTGCGTCATATTACCTGACAATTGAGCTGTCATGTAATGCTGCACCCAAATTAAATGTATGTCCTTTTTTTTCCCACAAATGGAGCTTTCTTTCTGTGGTATTGGATCACCTGTGCGTTTTTAATTTTTTGCACTATAAAAAAAAAGACAGTAAATTTTGAAACAAAAAATTTTTGACTTCTCGCTAATAAACTTGTCTACTAAAAAAAATAAAAAAATCGAATTTTGTCATAATTAATATGTATATATATATATATATATATATATATACAGTTGCAAGAAAAAGTATGTGAACCCCTTGGGATTACGTGGAGTTTTGCATAAATTGGGCATAAAATGTGCTCTGAACGTCATCTAAGTCACAACAATAGAAGAACACAGTCTGCTGAACATAATACTACACAAACATTAGATGTTGCCATGGTTTAATTGCACATAACATGTAAACATTCACAGTGCAGGGAGGAAAAAGTATGTGAACCTTTGGACTTAATAACTGGTTGACCCTCCTTTGGCAGCAATAACCTCAACCAAACATTTCCTGTAGTTGCAGATCAGACCTGCACAATGATCTGGAGTCATTTTGGACCACTCCTCTTCACAAAACTGTTTCAGTGTAGCAATATTCTTGGGATGTCTGGTGTGAATCGCTCTCTTAAGGTCATGCCACAGCATTTCAATCGGGTTGAGGTCAGGACTCTGACTGGGCCACTCCAGAAGGCGTATTCTGTGCTGTTGCAGCCATTGTTTTGTTGAATTACTTGTATGCTTTGGGTCATTGTCCTGTTGCATCCCCCATCCTCTGCGGAGCTTCAGTTGGCGGACAGATGGTCGTACGTTTTCCTGCAAAATGTCCTGATAAACTCTGGAATTCATTTTCCCAATGACAACAATCCGTCCAGGCCCTGAGGCAGCAAAGCAGCCCCAAACCATGATGCTCCCTCCGCCATGTTTCACAGTGGGGATGAGGTTTTGATGTCGGTGTGCTGCGCCTTTTTTTCTCCACACATAGCGTTGTGTGTTCTTCCCAAACAACTCAATCTTGGTTTCATCTGTCCACAGTATATTTTGCCAGTAGTGCTGTGGAACATCCAGGTGCTCTTTTGCAAACTTCAAACGTGCTGCAATATTCTTTTTGGACAGCAATTGCTTCCTCCGTGGTGTCCTCCCATGTACTCCATTCTTGTTTAATGTTTTCCTTATTGTAGATGTGTCAACAAAAATGTTAGCATGTGCCAGAGATTTCTGTAGGTCTTTAGCTGACACTCTGGGATTCTTCTTTACCTCATGCAGCATTCTGCGCTGTGCTCTTAGAGTCATTTTTACAGGACGACCACGCCTAGGGAGAGTAGCAACAGTGCTAAACCTTCTCCATTTGTAGACAGTCTGTCTTACCGTGGACACATGAACATCAAGGCTTTTGGAGATACTTTTGTAACCCTTTCCAGCTTCATGCAAGTCAACAATTCTTGATGGTAGGTCTTCTGAGAGCTCTTTTCTGCGAGGCATGGTTCACATCAGACAGTGCTTCTTGAAACCAGTAAACCCAAAACAGGTGTGTGTTTTTTAAGGGCAGGACAGCTGTCAGCAACACATCCAATATCATCACACTGATTGGAGTCAAGGTTGGCTCACTCCTGGCTGCAATTAGCTCTGGGAGAAAGTCATTAAGCTAGGGCCTCACATACTTTTTCCTCCCTGCACTGTGAATGTTTACATGTTATGTGCAATTAAACCATGGCAACATCTAATGTTTGTGTAGTATTATGTTCAGCAGACTGTGTTCTTCTATGGTTGTGACTTAGATGACATTCAGAGCACATTTTACGCCCAATTCATGCAAAACTCCATGTAATCCCAAGGGGTTCACATACTTTTTCTTGCAACTGTATATATAAACATGATTCTGCATTTCCGGGTAAGGTGGGTGTACGAGGTCCGCGACAGCACTACCCGCGCTGCCGTTCGTGGCACTGCGTTGAAGCACACCCCTCACCCCCTAGTTAAACACTCCCATCACAGTTAACTCTTTGATCGCCCCAAATGTTAACCCCTTCCTGCCCAGTGCCATTAGTACAGTGTCAGTGCTTTTTTTAGCACTGATCACTGTATTGGTGTCACTGGGGATGTCAGTGACACCAAGTCAGTTCCCCCCAGTGTCAGAATGCCCGCCGCAGTCCCGATATAAATCGCTGATTGCCGCCATAAGTCATCGAATGCCGCCATAAGTTGCTGATAGCCACCGTTATTAGCATACAAAAAAAAATTCAAGTATCTATACCACCATTTGTAAACGCAATAAATTTACACGTATTGGGATTTTTTTTTTAGCAAAGACATGTCGCAGAATACATTCTGGCTGAAATGTGATTTTTAAATTTTTTTTACTGGACATGTTTAATAACAAAAAGTCCAAAATGTTTTTTTCTCAAAATTGTCGGTCATTTTTTTTTATAGCACAAAAAAATAAAAAAAGCACAGGCGATCAAATATGACCAAAAGATAGGACGTAAATTTCATTTGGGCGTAAATTTCATTTGGGTGCAGCACTGCATGACCACGCAATTGTCAGTTAAAGTAACACAGAGCTGTAACGGAAACCGCTTCTTTAACCACCACCCGCCCGCCATATAGTAATATGACGGATGCAAGGTGGTTCTCTCGTTCTGGGAGGAGGTCATATGACGTCCTCCCATCCTAACTGCGCATGCGCGGCTCCCAGAAGCGCGCAGCACGGCGATTGGTGGTGCGCTGTGTCCCTCGGACATAGCGGATCAACGATCCATGGAAAGAGCTGAAGATGTCGGCTCGGTCATGTGATCAGCTGTATCCAATCACAGCTGATCACATGTAAACAGGAAAAAGCCGGTTATCGGCATTCTTCTCCTCTCGAGCTGTCACGCTGACAGCTCGAGAGGAGAGCAGAGCCGGGAATCGGCATTCCGCAGAGGGAACATGTACACTGATCATCAGAGCACTGTTGATCAGTGTGCCCTGATGATCAGTGTAGCCCGAGCAGTGCCACCTGTCAGTGCTCATCAGTGCCACGTGCCAGTGCCCATCAGTGCCACATCAATGCCACATATCAGTGCTTACCAGTGCACATCAATGCCACATATCAGTGCCCATCTGAGCTGCCTTTCAGTGGCACGCATTAGTGCCAGTCAGTGCCACCTATCAATGCCAATCAGTGCCACCTATCAGTCCTGCCCATCAGTGCCGCCTATCAGTGCCAGTCAGTGCCGCCTATCAGTGCACATCAGTGTCACCTATCAGTGTGCATCAGTGCCGCCTAGCAGTGCCCGTCAGTGCTGCCTATCAGTGCCGCTTATCAGTGCCATATATCAGTGCTGCCTTTCAGTGCCCATCAGTGATGCCTGTCAATGCCCATCAGTGCCACCAACCAGTGCCTCCTCATCAGTGCTCATCAGTGCCACCTATCAGGGTCCATCAGTGCAGCCTATCAGTGCCTATCACTACAGCCTCATTAGCGCACATCAGTGAAGGAGAAAAATCACTTATTTACAAAATTTTATAACAAAAACTAAGAAAAAACTTTTTTTTTTCAAACTTTTCAGCGGTTTTTGGTTTGTTTAAGAAAAAAATAAAAAACCCAGAGTTGATTAAATACCACCAAAATAAACCTCTGTCACAAAAAAGTGATAAAAATGTCATATGGGTACAGTGTTGCATGACTGCGCAATTGTCATTCAAAGTGTGACAGCGCTGAAAGCTGGAAATTGGCCAGGGCAGGAAGGGGGTATAAGTGCCCTGTAGGCTTGTGGTTAACTGCTTCCTGAATGCCCTATAGCAGAAATACTGCTACAGGGCGGCATGGGTGCACAAAATCACATGCATGCTGGATTGAAAGCAATAATGCTAGCCTTCCTCCGTAACACTAAACTGATGACCTATAGGGGCTTTTGTATTGTCGCCTATAGAAAATATAGGGTACTGAAGTTTGTCACCAATTCACGCACAAATTTAAGGTTTGGCCTGTTTGGTATCTAATTACTTGGTGGAACCTAGTCTTTTATATTTTGCCAAACATTTGGGTACTATATTGTGTTTGTTTGCCCTAAAATGTACTTTAGTGTGTTTTTTACTAAAATTCAGCATTTCCTAGACCTTTGTAGTATCATGTGACATAAAAATTGTAGCTACCACTATTTTATTCTATAGGGTGTCTGCTTTCAGAAAATATATAATGTTTGGGGGGAGAGTTGTGTAATCTTCAGGCCTGAAATAATTTTTTAAACATACGTGCAAAAAAATGCAAAAATGGCTCTGGCAGCGAAAAGGTTAAATTAGTAAGAAAGGATAGACAATATATGAACATTGTTATGAGATTTCACTTTTTAACATGACTGTAAAACCTTTACTTTCATCAAAAAATCCTTCATTTGCAGCAATTACAGCTATCCAGCCTATTGGCATTAAACTGTTAGTATTTGAAATTTTTCAGATAACAGTAGCTCTTCTCAGAGATTTGGCTGACTTGTAAGGCATTCTTTGACCTTATAGTGAAGTACTTATCATTAGGCTTCCTCCATCATGCTTGACTGCAATAGGTAAGAAAGTCTACTATTAAGACACAGGGCTAATGACTGCAGAAATCGGGGTTTAGCATTTGTATGTGAATAATAATCAGCCAATCATTTAAAGCAATAATAGAGATTTGCTAAATTAGTTATATCTTTGTTATATCTTTAAATCAGTTAATTGGTAAAATATCAATACTTTCCAAAAAAGAAATTTCAGTGTGAATAAAAATATTTGAATGATGAGGTATATGGGAACTTCTGTACCAGATTTTTATTACTGTCAACTATTTACACAGCCTGGCCTGACACCAGTGTTCAAAATGTGTTCCTTAAAATCTATCTCTGGGAAAATTAGTTTTTTTTTCTCTATGCCAGCAATAAGTTGGGTTGGGAAGAGGAGGGGGCAGGGGGGAGTTAGGTGAAGCACTAAGTATGTGTGTGTGTGCATATGTGAAAATTCTGTGGTTATATACTTTTCACACAGGAAGAATGCCAGTCACCATTAGGAAACCCAGAAAACAACTGTTTGCTCTGTGTCCTGATCACACTGCAATGCACCCCTAAGCTGTGCTGCAGTAAACTGCAATAAAATGAAAACTTGCTACATTTTATTGCAGTGCACAGGACAGGATCACATGTCATTGTATAGCAGAGCAGCACACCACACCACAGTGCCTGACAGGAATGAAGTGCACTTTGTACACTTCAAATAAAGTTGAGTTAAAAAAAAGGGAACTGTTCAATGCACTGAAACATACACCACACCACCCCCTATTGGCAGTTCACTGCAGCTGGTATGGATAGCTGCTGCACACTAAACCGCTGTGGTTTAGTGTGTGACAGCTGTTGGGCAGTGTGAATGGCCCTTTAAGGTCAACATTAAGACTATAAAATACCATGCCTGGAGGTACCTATAACATGCCTGTGGTATGATGCGATCAGTGAAATGATGACTTATCTGTGTGATGTATACACCTACTACACTGACATCTACAAAGAAAAAAATGCCATTTAAATTGCCAGCAAATCACAGCTCTGGCTACTTTACTTCTGTTTGTATACAAATGGATGGGGATTCTCTTCATCTTTACCAGTCCTTTATCCTAGATAAGGGTCTGATATAAAATGTTAATGGGGAATCCCTGCACACAAAAAAGGTGCGAGGTTCCCCCTAAAAATACACACCAGACCCTTATGAGGGCCAGGTATTGATGTGCAAAAGAACCAAACACAAACAAGAACAAAAAATGTGGAGTCCCCCTTTATGTGTGATATCCATGGGGACACTTTTCATATCAGAATATGAATTTGGTCTGTGGTCAGGGCTTATCAGAATACGGAATTTGTGTTCAACCAAACGTTGAGCTCATCCCTATTCAGAATCACCAGCTCCTTTAAATGCACTAGAGTCTATGCAATGGCCATGGTTGCAGCTGGTATGCCTAGGAGCAGGAGCCATGTTGGGCCAGAAAAAGGGTTTGGCTACTTTCACTTCGTAGAAATACAATGTCAACACAAGCAGTCTGCCAACCACTTGATATGTGATACGCCCTTGCACTGGAACTTAATGTTGGCCATGCTGTAGAGGTTGCCCCAATAGAATCAGGCCATCAATGAGTATCTGTGTAAGTATGGTATAAGGAAAGGTGCTTTTTTTTAATTGCATCACTTACTCATTATTCATATATATGTAGAGCACACCTTTTGAAGAGGTGGCCAGAATGGTGAGCCACAGTAAGACAGAAATTATTGTCACAATCCCTCTTGTGTTCTTCCTGGAGCACACACTGCATGGTGGTATAGACCGAGCATTGAAGGCTCAACAACAGGATAAAGAGGCCTGGCTCATGGCAACACTGACAGACTGTGTCTCATCTACATGACTGCAGACTATTTGCGGTCCATGACTGATGCAGGCCCTTTTAGAAGTGTGTACCCCCTCCCCATTGACTATTGGGTGCCCAGGTTGGAACAAGGTAGAGTTTTCATAGTATGCACAGAGCTTCTGGCTTGCTCTGGAGCCAGTGTGCTCTCTGGGAGGGCCTTCAGTGCCTCAGAATGTCTTGTTGCTGAGAGGCAAATCTACCTGTCCCTGACACTATGGACAGCTCACTTTGGTAAACAATCAGTCCAGTAAATTAGAACCAGTCCTGGATTACCAGTAAGTACAATGATGCTGCTTTCAGCTACCAACCAGCTTCTGCCACCTCTCCTGGCTTGCCACTATTACCAGCTCCTGCCACCTGTCCTGGCTCGTCACAATTGCCACCCTCTGTTACCTCTTCTGGCTTGCCATCATTACCAACTATTGCCACTGGGACAAAAAATTGCAATGTTTACTGCAGGGACATTTGGCATTGCACCTCGAAGTTTATTGCTTATTTAGGTGCCCTGGCATTGTAAAGGTGCCACACAAAATGTTTCCACAGCTGGACCTCAGCTACAAATGTTGTATTGTTTGGTGCAGGGTAAGTCCTGCAATGTCTCTGCTTGTGTACTGTCCTGATGCTAGCTAATATTCATCAAACACATACCTGAAGTCTATATTTTGTTTTTTTTGGAATTAATTGCTGATACAGGGATGGGAGCTGGTTCTGAACAGATGAGGTTGTAGTGTTGTAGTGTTAAGCAGCTTATTATTTTTTTTATTAAACCTTTGTGACAAAGTTCAGTGTTACTGCAAAAAAAAAAAAAAATGTGCCTCATCGTTGGTGTCAGTGGGAGGAATAGTGTCCCATCCTTAGTGTCAGTGGGAGGAATAGTGCCCCATTGTTTGTGTCAATGACAGGAACTATGCCCCGATGTTGTTGACAGTAGAGAGAATAATGGCCCATGGGCTGGATAAAAGCAAAAAAAGGGTCAAATCCTGCCCCAGGGCCACAGTTTGGAGACCACAGCACTAAACCATGAAACTGTTTTGCCACTGGCCAATTTGGAAAAAATTGAGGGCTTTTGCTTTGTTTATAGTTTATAGATTTGTTCTTGCGTCTATTTCCACTGGTCAATCCAGGCCTATCAGTACTGGTTAGATAAAATCAAGTGTCGTACTCAAAACTACCTGTCTTTTTTTTACTTGAAATTAATCAGATTGGGGTTCTTTTTCCGTATTTAAAGCTATCAATAATTTAAAGGTTAAAAAACAATTACACATCCAGAATGTGTAATGTCTGAATACAGTGCCACTGACACAACCTATAAAAGTCATACACCATTTGCACTGTAAAAGCATCCGCCAAGCATGTAATTTCAGGGAATGGTGTTTCTCCCACATTGCCTATGAAGTCTTATGGGAAGGAGGACACTGCCCCCACTATAAAGTATTTTTAATATTGTTTTTTTTTACATTGGTACACATCCCTCATAGCAGGGCCCTCCAAGCCCTTGTCTATTAACCTTGCAAATGGCCAGAATTGATTCTTCAGAATCGGTCCCCATGCCATTTTTTTTTTTTTTTTTTTCAGACTTCACACAAGATTTGATGAACTAACCCAGGCACATTTGCTTCTCTGTAATGCAGGAGAAAAACACAACAATGTGATATTTTTAGGAGTAATCTGCTACTCTAGTCCAGACCTATTGCCTGCATAAAAATATGTTTGGGCAAAGTATAGGTTTACTTTGACCCACTCTAGCCTCAGCTACTAAGACTGAGTTAACCCCTTTATATCAATTCTTACCTTGCAAGTACTGACCCAT